TTCCTGCTGGGATTGAACATACCCTCCCCAGAAAATACCTTGTTATCTTTTCCCTCCTCTGGCAACAACGCCTCTGGAAACACATGCCACTGGCACAGAGCCAACCCTGGCAGGACAGGGATATGTGCAACCCACAGGGATGAACAAACCGGCTGGGGGAAGCAGCGCGTGGCTTTTAGCCCAGACTCTGCAGCGATGGGGAGAGTTCAGTCACCCTTCCACTTCAAGTGGTACCAGAGAGGACACCTCTGTGCAGCATCTCTCCCCTTGCACATCCGTTAATCGGAGCAGGGTGTGCTGGAGAGTTCGAGACAGCCCCTTCCTCCACTTCTCGTCTGCTGCTGGCTGCTTACCTGACCGAGAGAGTGAAATCTCCTGGGTTGCTCTTACTGGGTCGAGCCAGAAAGCTGCCATGGACACCCCTGGTCAGGAGCAGCTTCTCTGCCTCAATTCCGCTGATGTTGGGATGAAACCACCTGCAAAATGCATACGTGACATGTGAAAGGGTAAATTAGCCGAAGCCTGCCCCAAGTGCCTTCCCTGCTGCCCGAGGGGCAGACAGCATCTTCCTCCCTGCGAGGCAGGCACAGAGCCCCAGCCCTACCTAGCAGCTCACTGCCTGCCTCCCCAGCACGTCGCAGTAACAGCTTTCACTCAGAAACCCCCTCCATTCAGATGTTACCGTGGAGAAAGTCTTCTCATTCATCAAGAGCGGTCTCTTTCCCAAAGGACTTTGTCCTCCTCTCCCTCAGATCAGGCAAAAGCAAGAGCCTCATACGCTTTCTGCGGCACAGACAGGAGATTCCCCCTCTGGAGGAAACCACAGGCTGAGAAAATAGTTTTGATTTTTCTGGCTCCAGGTCTGATCCTGGCTGGCTGCTTCCCACCCAGCACCCACCAGGCTCATACCCTCCGAGCTGTCGTGCTGCTGGCAGATGAACTGGTCCCAAGAAAAGACCTGCATCCCTGAGGACACTCAAGGCATTTCGTTAAGGGTTTCCCAGCACACTTCATGACAAAAAACCCAGAAAAAGCTCCAGCATCAAGGGCACTAAACCTCTTATTCTCCCCAGCAAGAATACAAGCCTCAGGCCGTCAGTCTCCCCCATTTAAAGTTTGTTTTGAAGAGGCGATGCTCAGAGCTCGAAAGAAGAAAGGCTTTCCTTTGCAACTCTGTCCGGGAATGAAAGGCACGCTTTGGTCTGCGATACACTGCGGCAGCGACGAGCCCTTGTGCTACAAGAGGATTTCTCAAGCAGCGGTGCAAACACCACGGCAAATCCATGTTCCAGGATCTCCCTCTTTGCCCAGCCTACAGAAGATAACAAGACTGCTCCAGCCTCAGCTACAGCAGCTTTGCCTCTTCAACTTAAGGGGAAGGAGCTGCTTTTAAACTCCAATCAGTCACAGCTCAAGCTGTGGTGCCCCAGCCACCTTTCCCAAGAGCACAGAGGAAAATGAGCCCAATTGCACAACTGCGAGGTCAAAAAGCAGATTTGTCCATTCGGGACCAGTGCATAGCCAGGGAAGCAGCAGGAAAGGGAACGCTGCTTTGCACGCTGCTGGAAAGCAACCGTGCAGTCGGTGTACATCTGTCACAGGACATAGCAGAAAGAGGGAGAGAAAGACAGCTCACCCTAAGGGAAAAATGTTGCATCATATTGTGTGCTACTTTCATGTAATCTTTGTATTTTAAGTGTCATCAAACCATCTACTGACCTCATTTCTGATGCTATCAGTCTTGATCAAGTTTTCTTGATGGAGTCGCAAGAACTGACGTTTCCCCAGGCTTTAACGTGTACTAAATACGCATACCAGACCAATGATTTCCCAAGTGGCACCAGTTTTATGGCTCGATTTTTCAGAAGCCACTGAAAAAAAATCCACTTTCTAAATGCCAGGCTCTTTTGAGTAATCTCACAAGTCACACAACGAGCACCCCAAACCGAGAGTCACTCAATTCTGAAAGTATTGCTCAGTTGTAGATCATGCTCCAGCAGACATTTCTGCATGGGACTGCTGTAATATTTTTCATGAGCAAGGAGGAGAAGATGAGCCACAACTAACACCGTATGATAAGAAAGCTAGCTTATCGAGCGTTTCTCGGCAGCACCAACGGCAAGGGAATCGGCTGCACACTCAAAACTCCCTTCGGAGGAAAGGACGACGTTGTAAGAGTTCTTGCATCGGCAGATGGGTCTGTGGCACGACTCTGAACCAAACGACTCAAAACTGCAACACGCAGTTTTCCAAGCAAAGTGAGATGCGGGTTCTCAAGAAGAGCATATCTGGAAACACTTAGTAAGCTACTTCCCTGTATACAGCCGTCTGTGGGTCAGATTAGCTAACGCACTGTCCCCCCAAAGGGTTTCCAAAGTTTATCTCGATAGTCGCAGAGAAATGCGTAACCTAGCATCTCGCCGAGTGCCTGCGTTAGGAAAAAAAGCCCAAAGACTAAACCTACAAACATAAGCATACGCACACTCATTAGAGTGTGTTTGTCTCCGAGATACACACGGAAAAGGTCAAGAAATGTCACCATCTCCTCCACAATTTGGGATTTCCTCCCTCCCACCGCAAGCCAAACAGTTTTGATTAAAAGATCCTTGAATTCTGGAGGAGGAGAGGTCTATTAGGGAAGGGCCATGGAAACAGATGGTAAACAGGAATCCCAGTGTTTCCAAGCCTTGGATTCCTGACATCACAGGAGCGACACCCTTTCAGAAATCCACTGTCTGCAGGGCCAGCACTTAACTGTGCCGCAAAACTGCTCCTGGCGTAGGAACGAATGCCTCTAATGGAGCTTAATGGAGCTCAGGGACAACGCAAAGCTGCCAAAGGCCACACAGAACGTTTCCGCTGAATGCCTAACGGCAATAAAACCAGCACAATATTGCTAGCCAGAACACAGTAGGAAAAAAAAACTAAGGAAACATCTCTGGTAAAACAGTGGGATGAGAGCTTCTCGTGGGCACGTACCCATAGCTGCAAGCGCACACCGGTTCTGAGAATATCCCGGTCGGTGTGACAGCAACATCTGCCCAGGGGTGCGAACTCCTCAAAGGCTGCTCTGACAAGGGGAACCATGGACACTGACACCTCCCCTCATCCACCAAGGCTCCCATGGAAATACTTGTTGTCCTGGGATGCCGTACCTCAGCCGGAGCCAGATCTGCATGATGCTGAGAACGGATGACTTGGTGTAGGTTGTCCGTGTCGGGAAGAGGGCAGAGGTGCTGGGGCTGTAAATCTTCCAGCATCCAAGGCATTGGGTTCCCATGAGGAAGAAGGCAAGAGGAACAAAAGGACCTCATCTCCAGCCTCCCTCCAAGTGGAAGGATGAGTGCTTGGGAAGGGAGGACCATAACCATCATAACCCTCTCCCTTTTCCACCGCAACAGCTGTTGACCACAGCTACAAAATCGATTCGCATCAGTCCCGTTTCAGCATCTTTTTCTCAGTGAAATACCCAGAGGGAACAGCACAGGCCACTTACAAACTCCCTGCAAACACTCAAGAGTGGGACAGCACGGTATAACAAGACAGGGAAGGAGTGTATTGGGGGCAAATTTGGGGCTCCGTCAACTTTGACATTGTCTTTGTGTCACTAAACAGAAACCTAAACGCCCTTTCCCTTAATGACTCCCACTGCTTGGATAGGAACCGATTCATACACGCGTACACAGCTCGTTATTTAGCTTGCAAGAACCACAGGAAGCTGAGGAGAAAACCTTTGCAGCCCCGACAAACAGAAGAGGGAGTAAAGGCAATTTCCAAATTCAGCAGCAAAAAAAGAGAAAAAGAAAAAAGGGAGAAAGCCCTCTGCAAGCATCGGCACCACTCCCATGGATTTCCAGAACAAAGAAAACCTCCTTGCACAGCTCATCTCAGAGGGCTGCGGATGGACGGGTACATGATGCTTGGCACTACGGTGCACAGGCTGCCTTCTTCAGCCAGGGAAGACACTACAGGCCTGTGGCATGAAAAGGGTGTTTTCAAATTCAAGATCATCTCCATTTGGGATTTCCAGTCCTGAAATTGAGCACTTAATCCCCGGAGGCTTTTCTGCCTGGACTAGGCAGGAATTCACAAAACCATGAGGTTTGTCACAGCGCCCATCCTCAACCCCTCGTGCAGCTCAGAGAGCTACGAACGACTCCAAGCCCACCCCTCCCACTCACAGGGTATTCTGGCACATCTCTTTCCAAGTCCCAGCTCATTCCCTGTTCCTGTAAAGACAGGAATAAACAACAATAGCAAAACCAGCCAAAATTGAACTTAAGGCTCTTTGGTTTGCGAAGGTTGCCCCATCCTACTCCGCGTGCACCAAGAGCTCTCTACCACTTCATCCCACGGGTAAAGCCACAACTGCATAGCCCGAGGTGCTTTTATCAATACAGCTCGTTTTTCTCCTGACCTGGAGTAAGCTGTACGTGCAGAAAGCATCTTTAGAGCTGTTTTTTCATTATGGTTTTTACTGGAGTACATTTGTTGGTAAGCAAAACCAACCCACAACAGAGCAGACAAGAAGAAAGCACCAACCCACGCATCTCTCGCTAAATGGCAATACTAAAACCTGCAAACAGCCTGCCACGGACTGCAAGCTCCAGCCGTGCGTCGGAGGAGCAAGCACCACTCGCTTGCAGGTGAACCCTGGGCTTCGAGTCAGACCTTTTGGACTCACGGATTGTTTATAGGAAGATCTGCAATATTCTGAGAAAGGAAGCAAATAAAGTGGATCCAAACTAGATCTCCAGGGTATGGGAGGGAAAAAAAAAAAAAAGTGCATTATTAATATCATGCCGTTGGTTTGATGTCAGCAAACGACCAGCATTATTGTGCAGTAGGTCATTCAGGCAACCGCTCAATTGTTAGCGTTTTTTGCAGAACTGAGTCACCCCTAAAGAACTGCTTTAAATAAGACTGGGGATCTAACAACTTTTCATCTCCACAACTACAAGTAAATATACATTCCCTACTTCAGGCAATCCTGCTTTCCTGCAGAGAAATGCATTTCCCTTCCATCGTTCAATCCATCTAAAAAAAAAAAAAAAAAAACAAACTTAAATTAAAAAGCTACCCGCAAGTGCCTTTTGGGAACCAAAGCTACACAAAGAAATTTATTAAAAATCAACAGAGAGAAAATGGAGAGACTTGCACGCAGTCCTAAGTCCCCAGCACAGACTAACAACAAGGCAGTGCTTGGGCTGCCGGGAGGGACCCTGCACGGTGGGAGAGGGCTTGGTGTAGGGTTGTGGCCAGGCTGACCAGTGCACAGCACGTTCAAAAGCCGAAGGGTCCGGTAGCCACGAGAACACCAGAAAGCCCATGGTGAGAAACCCATCAGGACGGAGTGTGCCATGGGGTTGGCAGTCATTGACGTGCCGAGCCCTCAACATCGCTTTCCTTGTGTGGAGCCCCTCAAAACATCAGCTCTGGCTCTTAACTCCTTAATTTAACCGCATCAGCTCTTCAC